CAAATCATCTCATGGCCATGCTGGTACTTTTTAATCCTTCTGCTTTTCCCACATGCTTCTAACTTGCTCCAGAATTCTGGTGCTTTTGCTGCTGATGAAAGTAGTTTTGTGTTTGGATTCACAGTTGTAAGCATTTTTGATGTGGTCAGTCTTGAGCATTCAGCATATAGAGGCAAACATGGCTTCAGTTTCATTGTGAARTTCCTATCTTTCCCTGCCTTCCTTGGCTCCTGGACATACACCTCCATGGTTCCTTTCTTTTGTCATCCCATTACTTGGGTTTTTTTCCCCAGTGTYTTTTATCTTGTGAGTAAAGTTTGAACAGTACGCAGAAAGTTAACTGCCTGGAGTCTTTTAAATATAAGTAACACGCACCCAGTAATAAGCTGTCGGTTGTTTTTTTGCTGCCTGCAAAGAAACATAAACACAGCGCTCATTTCTGGCAGGTTTTTACTGTCAGAGTTTCTCCTATTATATTTATCTTACAATTTGCCAGGGGGTGAAGTTATTAAGTTTTAGCAGCAGCCATCGATCAAGTTCACAAGTTAACACGATAAAGGCTCTGTGCCGCTCCGATCCGGGAAAATGATGATCCTCACTCGGTAATTAACTAAATGAGAAAGTTAAATCTTACTTGAGAGCTGGGAGAGATGAAAGAGAGGTGTTTGTCAGTTTCTCAGTGGAAATTAGAAGCAGTTTTCTGCAATTCCCTAAGCTGCTGCTCTGTCATATTTTACATAAGCACTGGGAAAACGTCTTGTAATTAGTGCTGTCATGGAGGATTTTTTTTGCTGAAGGATGTTGGAATAATTCATTAGATTATCAAGAAAGGCTTGTGTCCTGAAATGATTAGCACAGTGAAATTTAAACCATTAACGATAACAAGTTTAGAGCTTGCTGCAGTGCAGAGGCACCCGGGGTATGTCTGTGCCTATTTCAATCATTTCTTATAATTAAACATTATGTCCTCTTTTTTCCTCCCCTTCACTAAGACCCATCCAAAATTTCTGTTAAGGTGGCTCTGTCTAGATCAGTGACTTAAGCACGACTGGCAGTGCAAGCAATTGGAGGTGAAATGCTGCAGTTGCAGAGAAGCAGTAGAGGACATTTCTCTGTGTCAGAGCCTGTAGTCCCAGTGAGTCCAGGAACAAGGGAGGAAGCCCAGTATGACCTGTTGGTACTGGAACATGGAAGAGAAGACCTTTTMTTTTACCYAGGGAGAAGTTGAAATTTGCAGTGTTGGTGTAAGTTCTTAGYGTTTTCAAAGCTTCAGCATGAAGATGTRTTGAAGGTTCRGAGGGTCCYAAATTTTGCTGGGATCATTTAAGCCATCCTTGATATTGTAGGAGACAGTTTCTCTTTTTCTTTGACTTTAAGCAATATRTTCTTGCATTAAGCAACACAAAACCTGAATTCATATACCCTGTGAAAAGTGCCTGAACAAAGCCCTCTACTATAGAGAATAGAATTTCTTTTAAAATTTATAAAAGCTGTGACCACTCATATTCGTGGGTGAACACTATTGCTGTACTACAGTCAGGATTTGCTTGGTGTTAGTTTTCTTCTGAGCTTTATGAGGCTCCTTCGTCCCCTGTACTGAACAAARCCAAAAGTAACCTTCGTTGTCATATATGGGTTACAGCTGTGATATACCGTAACATTTTTGTTTTATATGCAAAGCAGTAGAYTTATCCAGTCTTTATTTATCTGTGTTGAAATATTGCACCTTCATGTAGTTGCAAGCCATTATTTAGATTAAAGTCCTTTCATATATTAGTCYTCTTCTACTTCACTGGGCATACAAATGTGCTTTGTGTTAAGTGTAGCCATTTGGAGAAATGGTCTTGTAATTACGGGCTGCAGTGGAGCATAGTACGTAGATCCCTGAGCTAGTACCAACCTGAGGCACTCAATCCCCTGGGTTTMCTGGCACAGCTTATGAGCTCAGGCTCTGTGTTGTCAGAGGACACCTCTGCCATTCCTGCAGATGAGCCATGGTGCCCAGAGCCAGCTGGGGCACCTCTCAGCCCTCATTTGCAAGGCTTTGTGAAATGGGAGTTAGTAAAGTTCTTCTGTTTGAACTCAGTAGTTTGCTCTGTTATAACCAAATTTCCTCCAAGATTATGAACAACCAGATCTTATTCTTTGCCACTTTTGGAAGTGAAGCTTATAAAAAATGTGACTGTATACAGTGCATTTGGATGGATATTTACCCTAGCAGTATGAGTGGCTTGTGGAACTGGTTTTTCTTTTTTGGGTGAGGTCTGATTATTGTACCAAGAGGGGGAAGAGGCTGCATATGATTTAATAATCCAGATACTTGATGATGTTGTTTTGTTTATGCTTATTTTTCTCTAATAGGTCTTTTTTGCTGAACTGGATTTTCAGGAAACCTTAAATTCAAATTCTGGAATTTTTGTTCTAAACTGTAGTTTGAGTGATTTGGGAGCCCTGACAGTTAATTTTTGTCTACTCTGATGTGTTCATGGCATGTCCTGTCCTCTTGGTCACCTGCTTGCACAAACTACAGGACCTACTGGGCACATGTCTGGGCTTATCCTCACTCATTTTGGTGGGAAGCCAGAGTAGGCAAGAGTGCAAACCAGGTCTCAAGTTGACATTGTAAGAATGCAGCAGAAACATGAATCTAAATACAGTGTTCCCATGTCCACTAATTTGGACATAAACACTGAAACATSCTTTTAGCAGAACCACTTTATAAATCTGGAGTTTCACTTCCAGAGCTGTTAAAAGTGCTGGTCAATGGACTCTTTAATTTACTCATTACTCCTACCCAAGAAGCCTATGTTCAGGCAGAATGAATTGTTTTGTGCCATCTAAGCTATCTATTTGTACACACATAAGCCATCATTTGTATTTTCAGATGTTGCAACTTCTGTTTTATACCACAGACTGATGTTTTAGAAGTAATTGGGGAGCTGAAGGYTGCTGGGAGAAGGGTGTGCAGAAGGGAAGGAAAGGCCAGAATGTGGGGCCACCCTGTGAAAGGAGTTGTGCCTTTGTGGCCTTTGCACATCACTGTATCCTCCACTCAGGCTCAGCATACTCAGCAGACTTCACAATCTGTCAAATTAAAAGACAGATGTATCWGTTTTTAAAAAATACCTTGTAGAGACAACCTGTTTTGTAAGATGCACAGCAAACAGAATTGAGAAGTTAAATGAGATCAAGCTTGTAGGTTACAGCATCTCCCCACTGTCTTAATCCAGCATTTTTACTGGGATGCTTGTTTTGCAGACAGTTTAACTGCAGCAAAAATTACCAGAATCCCTTAACACAGGTGTTCAGTCCACTCCTCTGGTAATCATCTTTTGCCAGGCTCTTATCTACTGTGGGCTTTAGTAGAAAAAGTCCAGTCTTTCACATACATGACTTGATGCCCACAGTCTCTTTAGTGATTTCTCTTGGCCCAAGAGAGTCTTTCTTTCCTGCTGCCCAGTACCAGCTTGGTGACTTGCAGTCAGTGCTGTCCATGTGAGGGTCAAATGAGATTGTAACTCATAGTCCTTGTTTTGTGTGATCTTAATCCAGAAATAGAAGAAGCTGCTTGTTTAAAATCACAGCTATTTACTGTATTTTTCTACCAAAGGAAGATCCATCTCTGCTAGAAATGTTGAAAAGAATGTTTAGGTGCATTATCTCTAAGAGAATGAAATTTATATGGTGATCAGTTTGAGTAGATTTTCAAATTATGGGGTTTTTGCTGTTCCAAAGTCAGGATTGCTGTTGGTATTGGGAGGTACTGAAGTCCAGGAGATATTTACTCCTGAGAAATGAGGAACTGCTTCATTCCAAATCTACTACCGGTAACTAAACTTTGTGGTGTCTAAATAGCCTGCTGTTTTGGCACTTGCTAAAAAGAGGCTTTTTTGTTGTTCTTCCTTTTCCTGTAAAATCAGTTAATCCTTGCATTTCTTTTAGTTTATTAGATAACTTTGCAGAATGATTTAGGGACTCATTTTTTTTTTTCCCTTAAATTTATTAATGACTCCAGTGAGGTTGATGCTTGGAATTATCATCATAGAACATAAATACAGTATCCCTACATCAGTGTGTTCTTATTTTTTATGTGKTCTTATATCTGCAATTTGTTTTTATTATTTGGTAATTAATGAAAAAACTCTAAATTTATTTTGTCAATAAAAATGACGTTAATAATATTGACTGTTAATATAATGCTGTCTGATATTAAACTGTTGCAGTGAAAGAGAGAAAATCACATGTTTTCAGCATGAAATAGAAACTRTTTGACAGGTAAAAAAATCCTTTCCCAGCAAACAGTTAATCTTAGTTGGACAAAAGATAGCCTTGCAATGCAAAATGTGCACTTTTCTTCCAGTTAAATCATTTAGAAAGCAGAAATTATGTCTTACCATCAAGTAGTAAATTGAAATGTCAGTGTTTTGTTTTGTCCCTGAAACTCTTCTTTGAGCTGACTCCTTCTGACAAGATATTAACAGTGCTCAGAAAGTTGAAAATATTTTATTCTGTGAAAGAAGTATTTACTGAATGTCAGGGTGTATTTTAACTGGCTTTGCTCTCAAGGTATAATTCAATTTTTTTCTCATCCATTTCATGTATTCCCTATTAATTTTAGGAGCAATCCATTCTTTAGGGGAAAAGAAAGTACAAATGCAGTTTGCTGGTGGTGCATTGAAGTAACCAGTATATGTACAGTAGGAATCCAAATGCATTTTACTGTCTATGTGATACACAAAGTTGTGTTTATATTAAACTGCCACTGTTTCCCATCTGACCAGTCATTTGTGTGCTGCTCTGGCATGAGCCAGTGCATCGTCCTGCAGGGGCCTCGGCTCACTGTGGTTGACAGCACTGGCCAGCATATTTGGTCTCAGACAGCTTTCACTTGTCAGAGTGCTTTTTGCCTTCTATTGTCTGCCCCCTGAAAGAAATTTTACACTGCTTGTGTTTCTTTTCATGTATGTTATCTGGGTTGTACCTCTCCTTCCTGTTTACAGACAAAACTTGCCAATGGCACTTCCAGTATGATTGTGCCCAAGCAAAGAAAACTGTCTGCAAGCTATGAGAAGGAGAAGGAGCTCTGCGTCAAGTACTTTGAACAGTGGTCCGAGTCTGACCAGGTGGAGTTTGTGGAGCACCTCATCTCCCAGATGTGTCACTACCAGCAYGGACATATAAACTCATACCTCAAACCCATGTTACAGCGGGACTTCATCACTGCACTGCCAGGTATTTCTGCAGGCAGAGGGAGCTTGCTCCCTATCTTTCAAAAAGCTACTCTGTTCCGGCCTACCCTGCTGGAGAGTTCTCATCGGGTCAGTTTGCAAAACAGATAATAGCTTTTGAGTGAAAAGCTCCGTACCAGTATGAAATGTAGTGATATTTTAATTTGTATTTCTACTGTGTCTAACACCGTCATGGTTTGTCTAGGAGTAAACAGCAGCTCAACTGTGTATTGTAACAATAGTTACCCAAGCCACAGGGCAGGTAGTTGTACTCTTAATGCCCACAAAGATGCATGAATAACAAAATGTTTTTAAATTAAAACTACTACTCTTTCTGGTTGCTCAGCTGAGGTTTTCCCTTTTCTTACTTGGATATTTTTTGTCTCTCTGCTGAAATGATTTCCTGAAACCATTGCTTTGATTATGTGATTATTGCTAATAGAAAATGGAGGGCATAAGAGCAAAAGATGGAAGTGTTCTGTTTTTTACACCTCTGTAGTGTTTTCCATTGAAAATACTATTCAGATCTGTTCTCAGATGTGCCATTGGACAGATCTACAGAATGCACACATAAAGTAGTGTACATGGAGTTTTATAGTGGCCKTGTCTTACAGATGGGAGAACTGAAGTGGTGAGAGATCAGATATACACAGCAATAGAGTTTCAGAATAAAACARAAATACCTGGCTCTTTGGCCATATTTTTTCAGATCATTAGATCATACCTCTGTAGATAGATAAATAGATAGTTAATAGATGCCATAGGTCCTTAGTTTGAGATGGACCTTGCCAACAAGTGCTACAGGTGTTTTCTCTAAACAGCTCGCTGAAGAGAGGAGTTTTTTGCTAAAAGCCTATTCTATGTATACCTTTGGAGAACTACTGAACTCTTGGTGAATTGTTAATCCAGTCATTTGATCATTCTTCAAAAGGGAGTTCGCAACATGAAATTTAAGTTCTAGCCTTAGAAGATGGAAAAAAAGTATGTTTAACAGTGAATTGTACAAAGCATAAAGGCACTGCAGGAGTTTCRCTATGAAGTTAAATAGGTAGGCTCATTGGATTTTAAGCTCACTGCCCAGTAATCAAATGGCTGTTGTAGCATTAAAAAAAAATCTTAGTTATGCTAAGTACCTGCTTTATGTTAGTTTTTAGTAGTCCAATGGCAATAATCTCRTGTACTTAGAGCAGCATTATAACTTGTGCTGCTCTGTTTGAGAAAAATAGGAAATGTTTGGAATCTGCACTGGTTTCCTCACTATTACAGTGGAAGTATACATGTAGTTACATACACAATTTTTACATACACAGGTCTTTCTCCACAGAACCCCATGAAAGCAAGCCAGCACATCTCACTGCACTTGGTTAATTTCTTCCTACAAGTCTTTCGCTGATAATTTTGGGCAGATGCTATAAATACTTCTAGAGACATTCCACATTTTCTAGGCACACCGTATTTGTTACTGGTCTATTCACAGTTGCCCAGGAAGCAGCTGATTTTACTCTATCAGAATGCAGAATAAATAGGRATCAAGCAGCTAATATGTGCGTATTTTAATAGTTGGGGGAAATGTGTGCGTAAATAATGTATGTGCATCAATTTGCATATTTGCAAAGTGCAAATGTCCTAGTGAATATAGCTCTAAGGGAGAAAATTAATGGCAAGGAATTACACTGGCACAGTCTCTGCAGTCTGTGCAGGATGTCCTGAGTATAAGCACGTTGTAATGAGGGGAATGGGAAGGGAGAAAGGTAAGGAACTGCCTAGGAAAGAGCGATGAACCTAAAATTTTAAATTAAGTCATATAATGGGACAAAACCCCTAAGCTCTCCAAGTTTTTAGCTTTCTGAAATTCTCAAGTGTTCAGTGCTCTGGTTTCATTTTTACTACTTCATTCTCTCTCCTGCTCTCCCCCTTGAGTGTATAAAACAATAAACCTACTTCAAAATCATGAGGTATCTTATCTCTGTCCTCCTAGCACTGTCCCAAAGAATGACTAGAATTAAAGGTAGTTTTGTATCATGGCACRTTTTTACTAATGCAGAGTAAAGTTGACTCAGATTATTTTCCCAGTGCTTTGCACAGAATTAAGGTTGTGTGAAAAATACAGCTTAACTGTGTACTTAACAAAGTTTGTTCAGTTTCTGAAAATAAGGCTTCTGCTTAGCATTTTCAAGCTGTTTAACATTTTTTATGAGGAAAGTAATTTTGATAAGGATTTCATATGTGAAATAACTGAAACATTCTTGTTGGTTTGGAGGGCTGAAGGGCTAATCRTGTTTCACATCCATTTAGCAAAATCTTCTGTGAGCAGAGTTTTCTCTTTTTAAGGAAGTAGGGCTCTGTTYGATGTATGCCTCAGTGAGTTATGCTGTTCCTAAGAAACAAAAAAATAAAACTGAGTTTTCAACCAGGCCAAAATAGCTCTGCCCATCCACTTTCCATAAATGTAAGAAGAGGCAAAAACATTCGTGTTCCTTCTCTGCAAAGAGTCTAGTATCAATGGCAAAGGATGACTTTAAGACATGGCACCTCCTTGCATCGAAGATCTAAAACGCAGTTCCTGATGAACCAGGAAGGCATATGGGTGAAGATTATTGTGCCCAGCTTGTGCAGTGTAGCCCTGCTTCCTAAAGCCACCAGTTGTTCCCCATATAAAACTAATTCCTCCTGTGATACTGCTAACACAAAGCCACCAGTAAGGACTCTACACAGGCAGGCATTTTTAAGTGTCCTGGTGGGTCTGTAAATGTCTGTGAGCCCACTGGAAGCAACGTGAGTGGGAAATCTGCCATTTCCTCACAATGGAGAGAGTTCGGGGCCACAGGAGCAGGGCAACAGGATATCCATGTTTACCCTGCTAATTCTGGAATTCCTGCAAATTCTAGTTCACATTCACTAAAATGTTGTTTCCCTCTTTCCACAATTTGCTGTGGAGTCAATCTAAATTTACAAACTTTTTTTTATTTAATAGCGGTTGTACATGTCTTTTCAGATCAAATACATAATAAAGGCTTTTATTTTGCAGGTTGGCATCTTATTTTGCATCTATACAGATCAGAAATGTCAAACCTCTCTCTCCACTCTCTGATAGTGCCTGGTATCATTCACATACTTTTTCTACATATAGATTGAAGCATAAAATGCTGAGCAGAATGTCTTACCCAATGTGTATTCTAAGTTTGGCATATTTGAAAGCAGCAGGAAGAGGTATGCTGAATTGTCTCATTTTCATGAAGTGGGAGAAAATTTTGAGATGTTTTCGTTAAGGAAAAAAAAGATTGGGCCATTTGTGTGTCATGAACTCTCGTCAGAGTCAGCTGTTGCACCCAGTTTGGGTTTGCAGAAGTACAGACGTGTGACTGTAGGAACGTACTTACTGCCTTTTCTTTCCCTCTCACAAGGAGGGCCTGATCTYTGAGGCTGTTGTTTTAAAAGCAAAAAAACATGTATTTAACTTTGTCCTAAATGTGAACCAGAGGGAAGATGCAYGTAATACCAATTGCCATGCTTCCTTTTTGTTTGGACTGAACATCATGCCTGGGGGATGATGTGGTGTCKAAACTTTCACAAAGCCTCTGAAATTTAACCTGTGAAGTGAGATAATCTCTTGGTGGTGTGTCTCACTTGTGAATTAAGCAGCCTTCAAGAGAAGCTGTATTTGCACAACTTCTCATTTAAAAGGCATCTTGTTTTCCTGAAGTCTTGCTGGTGATTAAATTTGAGTTGGTAAGGGCACATTTTTGCTGACAATATCCATCCAGTTAAGAAATGTAGCATAACCTTCCCTGCCCCCAGGTACATTGAGCTGTTTGGTGCTAACCAGGCAATTGCTTTACATTTCTTTCCAGCCGTGTTGAAGTAAAGCCAATCCTAGTATTCACATTGGAAAATATTTGCAAATGATGTCATTTCGGTGCATACTTTTCCTTCATCCACTAAAATAAATGAAACTAGCAAACCTGCTTCACTTTCTCTTCACAGAGCCTCTCCTTCCCTCTCCATGTCCCTGCGCATCTGCATATCCTTCCCTCCCCCCTGTCTAAAGGTACCACTACCCTTCAGGGCACACATTGGGAATATATATTTTTTTCTTCATTACATTTAAAAGCTACTGCTTTAGCAAAAACAGCTTTTGAGCCRTTGCAACATGAGAACAGCTGTAGCAGTGAGATGAGAAATGGTCCTAATATAGAGAGATTTTGGGGGCTGCGTTGCTGAGTTGGAAATGCCATCCATAGAATATCCCCCTAGTGCTAAAACCCATTGAAATAGATTGGAATGACTTCTTGGATTCTTTATTATTTTTAATGACTTGTTGTGCTATATCCAAAGGAAGTTGGAGAACACTGCTCACTCCTGAACTTACCCTCARATGCTCTTCTGTGCATTTGGTCCAGCTTCACATGCAGAAGAAGAGATGGAAGGAGAGTGTATCTTTGTACTAGCAGGGGGAGTTGTCTTAAACTCTGTGTCTGTCCAGCAAATAATCTTTTTCTGTTGATGTTGTTCTCCCCCAGCTCGGGGATTGGATCACATTGCTGAGAACATTCTGTCATACCTGGATGCCAAATCTTTGTGTGCTGCTGAGCTGGTGTGCAAGGAGTGGTACCGGGTGACATCGGATGGGATGCTGTGGAAGAAGCTCATTGAGAGAATGGTCAGRACAGACTCCCTGTGGAGGGGTTTGTCAGAGAGGAGAGGATGGTAAGGAAATTGGATCTTCACCTCTTTTTCCCCCATGCAGAACAGTAGGGGTTGTGTGTTTCAAACCATATTTGAAGGGGGTTATTCAGCACACTGAAACATCACGTTGGTTCCAAACCAGACAGTTGCTTACATCAAAACTCAGGGGCTGGGGAGTTAGGGCATCATTTGGTTATGTGGCAGTGTGAGGGATTTTTTCCTCACCTTCCTCATCTGATCATGCTTTTACCCCACTGTGACAAATGAGATATGCAGACTGAGATTTTTACACCCAGCTGTCATTCAGTTTAAATTAAGAAGCTCTGTGTGCCTCGGGGGAACCCTAAACTGGTCAGCAGTTCAGAGCAGAAGAGCTTTTTCAGGAGTGGCAGTGGGGCAGAATACGCTATGAATTAGTTCCTTCCTGATAGGTCTGTTTGTTTTCCTCAGCAGATTTTCACTATTAGATATCTGTTTAATTTTSAAACTGGAAGCTGAGGGTATGTACCACGGAGATTAGGGGACTTTAGAAATGCAGMTAGATTAGTTAATAATCATCTGGAATAGCCTTACTACAATGTAGGTCTCACTCAAAGTTTGAAGCTGCTCTGCTAACATTTCATTAGAACTTTCCCTCTCAGGGGTGCACCCTTTAATACATAATTTTCTTTTCCAAGGGTGTCCCTAGGATCTTGGCAGAAGGGAAACTGGGTATGAATATTTCATAAACAAGATAAAAGTGACAGCTCAGGCATTTTGGTTGCTATTAAAAAGAAAAAGATACAGAGTTGCAGACAAAGACTCCTGGTTTATAGTTAATCTTGTTATACTGTTTGTCTTAGGAAGTAAAGGTAAGTAAATCAGGATTATGAGACATTTTTTAAAAATAAATACTGTGTTGATCTGCTTCCAATAATGCAGTTTCTGAAGAGTGCAAAATAAACACAGGCATAGCAATGATAACTTGCATTTCTTTTAGTACCTTATTCTCTCCAGAATTTCCATTTTTTTTCTGCCTGTTGTTGAGGTCACAGTAAGTCCTAAGAGGAGATGAGAGGTCATTTAGTCCCTTTTGTTTCCCCTAGGCAGAGACAGGTTTCTCTTAAGTCATCCCAAATGTTTGTCTCAACTTATTCTTAAAATCCTCTAGTGAGGAGATTGCCCATACAATGCCTGGAAAAGGAATTCTGCAGTTTCACGTTTTTACTCTTTCTAACTTCAGTGTTTAAAAGGTTTTCCTGATACTGAGGCTGTCTTCCTAGCTACACTTTGACTTGTTACATTTAACCTGCACAGATACACAGGACAGTTTCTCATTCTCCTTTTTGAAGTAATCTTTTCTGTGTTGGAAGATGACTATGCTTCCTATGTTTTGGCTGTACTAGCCAACCGCAATCATATGTTGTCCTATCCTGTCCTATCCTGTTACTATTCTAAACWCTSTGATAAAGAGAGGACTTTTTGGTTAAGAGATGCAGACAGGAAATATCCCATGCAATTGCATCTCTGCCRTATAGAGCATTATAGCTTGTAATTAGTGCTATCTCTGTGCCTGGCACAAGAAGATGACTAACTGGACAGTTCAGAGTGATGGATGAACAGTGTTATTTACTTACAGCTCCTCAATTTGCACATGAGCTGCCTGATTTCAGCATTTGCAGCTTGTGATTTACAAGAGAACCCCCTGCCATTCCACAGCATGGCAGCCTTCACTGGCAGATTGTCAGGGAGAAGTAAGGGTTACACAGATTTAGAGAAATATAAAACAGAAGCCCAAAATCTGGGCACAATTGTGTCCATCTGATTGAATTGGCTGGTCATCAAAGCCTGCAAACAATAGTTCCTTTTATCCCAGAGCCATAGCACAACAGCTACTGGGATGCCGTGAAAATTCCAAGCAATCCTTCAGCTGAACAGTAAACAACTGGCTCTGCATGCAGCAGGACAGGACTTACAGGTAGCAACCAGACTTGGTGTTACACTAGCTGGTAAAGTTAGAAATAATTAGCAGGGTTTTAGGCACATAGACTTGAACAYAGGTTTTTGTAGACATGCCCCAAGTCTTCAGAGATGTGTCCTAGGTATTCTGTTTATCTCCAAAGAGGTTTTCATCTTCCTTGGCCGATAATATTAATTTCCATGAATGCACTTCCAGATTGGATCACAGTAAATAGGCATCTGTCTAGTTGGTGGTTTGTCTGCATCCATGTGTGCCTTCATCACGTGTGTTTGTTCCCATATGCATGTCTGCTGATCATTGTATTTGAAGAGTCAGRTGATTCCTCTGTCCAAAGAGGAAAACACCTTTCTCTCGGATTGTATTGAGAACACTTGATTTAAAGAAGTATCAAAATTTCTTTTCCTAAGCATTTGTCATTTTGTTTGTTCAGTCCTGTAATTTGCTACTGCCTTAAAACCTAAAGATTTTGGTTCATTGTTGTGATCTCCTAGTTCAAGTGCATCAGAGCAGCTAATGTACAGTCTCTGAAATGAGTTTCAAGGTATACTGTATGAAAGGGACAGGAAAGAAATGCACTAGGAAGTATTGAACAATTAATTATGTTGTAATGGAGYAAGGGAGGGAGAAGTGGAGAGCTGGCCCAGTATAAACTCTCTGCCTCTGATGCCAGGATTACACTCGGAGGCATTTGTGCCTCTCTCCATTTTGTGAGGCATGTTGCCAGGCAGAGCAGCAGTTAGTACGCCCATGGTGGGGTTTACTAGCTTCCACACCGTGTTTGGTGGCTTCTTAACTTCAGGATGAGGAATTAAAGTTTTTTACACAGCAGGTAGTGATTGCCGTTTACAGATTTTTTTGGTAACAAAACTCTAGCTTGGGATATGAGTATTCCAAATCAGTGTTGAAATGAGAGAGGCGCCACAGATGAAATGTTGCTTACCAAAACAGAGTAGTAGCAGTAAAATGTCCATGTACCCAAACTGATACTGTTCCTGCTACTGCAGATGAAAGCTAGCCTTGAATGAATAGTGAATTTGAGGATTCCTTGGCTTCTTTCATTTACTTTGCATGCTTTATTTGAAAGGTGACCTCTGATAATGTGTGAGTATTGCAGGCATGAACCATTGTCAACTTACTGAACTGAATGGGCCCATGTCCATAATATAAAATTGATTTACCTTCCCCAAGTTACTAGACAGATTTTTCTAAGGTATTTCAGTGTTGAAATGTAACACTGACATGTTGCAGCTCAACAAACAAGGAAACATCCCATCTTAGTAAATTAAGTTTGACTATGAATCTGTCAGCAGTGGTTACTCATTTGTAAAATGCCAGGAGGACCTTTCTCCAAAACGCTGTAAAATTATTTCTGTTCAATGGAAGTGTTCTTTGTCTTCCAGGGGGCAATATCTATTTAAAAATAAACCTCCTGATGGAACTGCACCACCCAACTCCTTCTACAGAGCACTTTACCCCAAAATTATACAGGACATAGAGGTAAGAAACAGCTGCCAGATGTGGTGGCATTCCACTGTTAGTTTTTTTGTTTTCTTCAAATGTCCCTGATTTATTTATGATGCTGAAATTCTGGGAATATTCCACTGTAGTGTAATACTTCATTAAATCTGACATGTCTGTGTTTGTCTGGAGTTTGTATATCTGGGATGGTTATGTAAGATCCTGCTGCTCCTTTAGACAGAGGATGAGTTGGATTGTTCAGTGAGTTGTTTGCTGGGGGAGTCGCACACTTTGCAYATCAGATATCACAGCAGCACCGTAACATCTTGGTTTTCTCTATTCCACAGTACTTTGCTCCATCCAGTGCAATGAGACCTAATAGACTGTTACGGGAAGATACCAAAAACTAAGGCAGGGAGAAAGTGCATTCCTAAAGACTCCTAAGGCTCAGGGAAACAGGCACCAACTAAGCATGGTTGCCTTGCATTTAGTGTGAGCAAAATGATGTGTTCTGCTTGTTTCCTAATAACAGGAGTGCTCAGGCAGTGTTGTGACAAGTATGTACAAGCACTTAGAGCTCAATTGAGACTTTCTCATCAGTTGTAGCTGTTTAGTCACAGGGGATTAAAGGTTGGAGATAGTAAAGAGCTTTTAGTTTACTTCGTTCTAACCATTCCCAGCAACACAGGTTAGCCATGATATGCTTCCCAAGAATTTATCTGTTTAACAGGTTTTATTACATGTATTCTAGAAAACAGTTATGTCATTTTACGGGCCTGATTGCAGCAAAAAGCGTGTAATAAAGTGTTTGCTATCTTCTCAACCAAACAAAAAAAAAAGGGGAGATAGTTCCATGGGTTTTTTTTCCTCCATCTCATTTGTCTCCTGTCTCTTCTCAAGACAATAGAGTCGAACTGGCGGTGTGGAAGGCACAGTTTACAGAGGATCCACTGCCGAAGCGAGACAAGCAAAGGGGTTTATTGTTTACAGTATGATGATCAGAAGATAGTAAGCGGCCTACGAGACAATACTATTAAGGTGAGAATGCTCCATCATGGCATTCTAATAGCTTGGGCTGCCTATGCAATAAATAATAGTGTCCTAATTTCAGTGACACCTACCCAATCTCTTGCTAGTAATGTAGCCTTCCTCTTCCCCCATCTCCCACCTGCACAGCAGCTACGCCTCTTTTATCGATCTAGAGAGACCCTGTTTTCAGGCAGATGGGCTTTGCTAACAGAGTTTCTGTCCAGCAGTAATTACAGACTATGTAATTACTGGGCCCTGTATCCTAATGAGAGGGGTAAAGCCAATATTCATAGTAAAGCCAGTAATATCAAAGATGTCAATGTATTGCACCAAAGAGCCTGTAGAAGACTCTACAGATGCCACTAAAGGTGTTCTAAGTGCACTATGGATCATGTAGTGAAAAACAGACTAGTCAAACCAGTCAGTGCTGAAAGATGAAAACCTTACTGAACTGTCCAGTTTTGAATGTTTGCTGTCTTAGATCTGGGATAAGAATACATTGGAATGCAAGCGAATTCTCACCGGACACACGGGTTCTGTCCTGTGTCTCCAGTACGATGAGCGGGTGATCATTACTGGATCTTCAGACTCAACAGTCAGGTGTGTGTTCATGATTTTGAGCTTTCTGTTTATCTCCTAAGATTTTAGCTTCRCAAGCTGCTGAAATGATCTCTTCTTAAATGTGTGCTGTTCAATCAGTTCCATGAAGTAGTTCAGYGTATTTGTTCAGCGTTTTGCTGTCCTTGTTTATCAGATGTCCATGCAAATCGCTGTCAAGGAGAAATGAGAATATGAGACAAGGCCAGTCAAGGTCAAGATGATTTAGGAAGGCCATCTGGCATTTCACCAAGGTTTTGCATGTTTTGACACTCCCTGAGWATGTTATAAATTCTCCTTGAGAATAACTTTTTTGTAAGAGTTGAAGTTTTCAAAGCAAGCTTGAAGGTTTAGTAATCCGTTGTCAGTTGATGTTAACAAAATATGTATGACTAGATCTCCTATGACTTTAATTTAAATTTCAGCATGATGTTTCTTTTCATTCAGTCTCTCTARCCTTGCTTTCCTTCAAGTCTCCAGCAAAAGGCTGGGCACCTCAAGGTAGCACTTGCAGTGCATGTAGTCCAGTTGTGAAGTCCACTAGWCATATTACAGGATACCAGAGAGTGTAAGACCTGTATTGTAAATACAGACACATCTGAGTTAATGAATTGCAGTATGAACTTGGATGTAAAGGRGCAGGTCTGACTTCTCCACATTGTTATATACTCCCTTCTTGTCAGAGTATAAGCAATGCTCATGCAGAGAAGTTAGACACCAAAAAGCTGCATTGGTGGCCTTTTCCAGAGCTGTTAGCATGCATTTCTAGGCTGCAAGCTCCTCTGGTTGTCACTGTGCTTGTGTGTAAACTACTACTGTTAACCTAATGACTATTAAATTGAGTTCCTGACATGATGCATGCAGTCTTGCAGTGCTGCTAGGTGTTGCAGTCCTGTCAGTAGGAATCCAGAATTTCAGCAACACTGCCTGCCTGGAGGCAGCGTTRGAACTTCACTGGGCTAAACAGATCGCAAAAGGAGAGGCTGATTTCTGTAACAAGCACTGTCCTTTTCTGTATCAGGCCCGGCAGGCCAAATTGCASACTGGCTACTTGCCCAGGAATACTTTGTCTCCCACTGTATCTATAAATGTTTGTGCAGACCTCAGAGGCACACAGGATGCATCACTTTTATCCTTGGGTCTCCTCAGGAAGAGAGGCTTCATCCAATAGGTAGTACAGATGGGCTCTTAATGCTTCTGAGGTCTCAGGGATGCACTTGTCCAAAGAAGTCAGTGGGTCTCCAGCTCCTGTTCAGTTTGGCAACCCTGTCTACAAACTGTTTGTATGTTAATGGTTCAGGTCTTTAGGTTTTTCTCTTTTGCATTTTGTAATTGGAATGTAGTTTCCTTTCTCATTTAGAGTCCGTAAGTTGATGCACTTCAGTTTCCATAAGTTAGAGAATAAGACATTAGAAGTCTTTCTCACATCTTGCCTTTTCTTACCGCTTGCCTTATTGGCTGCAGAAAGTTTTAACTTCTGCAGTATCTGATGTGCCTGATGATAGAGCCATTTTCTGCTTTCATATTGTATATCTGGGATACAGGTRTGATAGTGCCAAAAGAAATCTCTTTATGCAAGACAAAAGAAGTTTGCCAACAAAATAGCCCAAAAGAAATATTTTTAAGGCTTAAAAATCTTCCTTTCAAGTATTAGAAGTTCTGCATGAAGCTTTTGTCTAACTTAAATTATCTTTCAGTTGAAACAGTTGGTTCCAATAACATTCAATTGGCATAAATGCTGTGTCTTAATTTGGATATTCAGCACATTCCTGGAATGTAGCTGTGTACCAGATGCACCACGGGGTAAATGCAAATCATGGTGCAACTTGTGGCAATTACTTGTATTTGTTTGAAAAGAATTGTCTTTTGCCTTTGTATATATTAACCCGTGAGCTAATAGTCCTGTGAGAGAGGTCAAAAATTAAGCCTGTCGGGGAACTGACTTCTCGACATTGACTGGAAATTAAATATATAATAAGCTGGCACAACCAGGAAACACCAGTCTTTAAGGCCATCAGTCTTCCACCTTTCCTTAGCACTAAATTCCCTTAATTAAAGGATGTTTTTTTCCTRGGTGCATTATTTTTATGGTGTTAACTGCATTGCAGGGTTTTTGGCTGCTGGACTGTCTCAATGTACACATAATCAACAGGTTTATCTAATACATTTTTAATGAACTATTTAATAGATGTAGATATAACTTGTGGTGTTTGCTTTTCTAATATCGCTAGAGAGTCAATTACCTCTCCCTGTCCCTCTCTCACTCTGCARAAAATTCACAGTGCAGGTTTTTAAYTCTCTTCTCTCTGGTTTGAAATCTGAACCTGCAGAGTGTGGGATGTGAATGCAGGCGAGATGCTGAATACACTGATCCACCACTGCGAAGCTGTTCTGCACCTCCGYTTCAACAATGGCATGATGGTGACGTGTTCCAAAGACCGCTCCATCGCCGTGTGGGACATGGCATCCCCGACAGACATCACCCTGAGGAGGGTGCTCGTAGGGCACCGAGCTGCCGTCAACGTAGTGGACTTTGATGACAAGTACATTGTATCGGCATCAGGTGACAGAACTATAAAGGTGAGGTGTTTCAGAGGCTTTTTATTTGCAGCACTGGGGTATTTATTAAYGAAGAACAGTGACCAGAGAGGGAAGACGGTCCTTGGCAGGATCTGCCTTTAGAAGTTTGCATTCATCCGTCTTCAGTTGAGCTTGCACAGCTTGTTTACAGAACTTAYGGCAAATTAGATCCAAGTAGAGATGCAGTTGAAAAAGACTTTTTTTTTCTGTGTTCTTTTTYGACTTGACCACTTCCATAATCAGTTCAGTCATTTAAACAGTTGTTAGAGGGTAGCATGGGGACAAAARTGAAGGTGCATGAATAGGAGACACCTTAATGTTACTGCTATGWTCCCAATCTGCAGCATTAAGCCTCAGGGGAATCTGTCATGTGTAAACTAAACCATAGCCCAAGAACGCTAAACCTGGAAGCTAATTCAATACTGTGTGGCAAAAATCTTCACTGTGTACACGGACCCTACTGCTATCAATTGCAGACTATAATCAGAGGTCTGATAAATGCTGAGGTCTGATAATCTTCAGGTCATCAGAGGGGTAATTTTCCCAATCTTTATGATAGCATCTTCATTAAGAACATTCTGGATGCATCTRTATATCATACAGACACCATCTTTTATTCATCTCTTCATAATAATTTTGTCTCTGTGTGGTTCCCTCCCCYTTCCTGTCACAGGTATGGAACACTAGTACCTGCGAATTTGTGCGCACCTTAAATGGCCACAAACGAGGCATTGCATGTCTGCAGTACAGAGACAGGCTAGTAGTGAGCGGCTCTTCAGATAATACCATCAGGTGAGAGACAAACTCCCCATCGCAGAGTTCTGTGCAAGCACGCTGTCTCTGGTGCCCTGGGACGTGCAGAGGTTAGGCAACGGAAGTGCTCTGTACCTTTGTCAACTTTGAAATGTGCTTTCTTTGGTATAGAACATGGGGAACTACTGGAAGGAGATATTAGAAGCCTGTTTTACTGTGTTGACTTTCATCCTCTACATCTCAAGAGTCCCATACTAATCAACAAGTTGCATTGCTCTGACAATTCTGGTGTGTGAAAGAGCTGGCAAGTACCACTTTCTGTGGTGTTGTCTTCTGATATTTTAATTGGACTATGTGTCTAGTTAAAGGGGTCAGATTTGCAGTAAGAGGCATTTAATCCTCTGCAGAAATCCTCCTGGACTCTCGCCAAACTCTTCTTGTGGTACTTGGCACCTGGTTAAGTTTGGAACAGCTGGTTTAGAGCATGAAGTTCAGTTTGCTGCCTTTTGCACTTCTCCAGCTGCCCTGGTTGCAATCTGAGATTTAACTCTTTCTGATATCACAAGCCAGAACTTCTCCCTAAATCCTGCAGCTGCTAGCAGAGGGATGTCCCACTAATTTCAGGGTGTACGGAGCAAGCTTGAATATTAGTTTATGTAATATAGAAAATGGCCCTGTCGTAGAAATGGGAGTAAGAGCAGCCTCCCTTTTCTCTTGGTCATGTCTGTAAGTAATTGTCTGTCTTCTGACAAAATTTGAAAGCTGGACAGTGTAAGCAGAAACCGTTCACATGTCAGTAATAATTTTTCTTCAGTGCGAATGTTTGCCTGTGGACTTGGTTTGCAACATGCTGCCTCTGCTCTGCATTCCAAAGGAAAACAGTAGTCCTTTGGTTGACATCACCGGGTCACTGTGCCAGATTTTAGCACAGAATTGTCTGAGAGCATGACCAGGAGAGCTGAAACTTCCTTCTTAATCAAGGAAAAAAGTATTACAGGCATTATGTAAGAGCAGCAGCACTTGGTGAGAACTCCTGCATTCAAATAGAAAAAAGAAGCCTCTGCAGTTGTACTGTGAAACTTGGGTCTCAGAAGTAGAGTAAGAAATAGTTAAATACTACAGCAGTTTGGGAAGGATCTTAAATATGACTTGCAACACTAATAAAAATAAATRTCAAGATAGTGATAATGCTAAAGAGGAGTACAGTTACTTTTGTACTTGGATTGGACAAAATCCCTACTTGACAGATAAATTGTACTAGAATTTCAGGAATGTCASCAGTGAATCTTAAGGAAAGTCAAGTTTAGCAGCAGTGTGAGCAAGGCAAAAGACTTGCCCACTGCTAAAAGACAGTTTTTCCCAGCAGCACAAGTCAGTGGAAGGATGATTAAGAAAAAGGGCAGGCTGCTAAGTCATCTTTGTAGATGGCTTGGTACTTTGTGTGTTTGATTTTAATCCACTACCAGATATTGTGTGCTGGACTTCAGTAGAGGCTGATACAGAACTTAAAAGTTCATTATTCCTCAGTTGCAGGAAAACTTTTTTCCAGAAGATGTCTTTGTGATTTCTAGTTTTGCAACTGCAAGTGTTAAGGACGTGTGAAGTAGCTGAGAAATCAATACCTTTCTTCTTCAGGGAGRCTTCACAGAGAAAAATTATTTCYGTTTTGATTTAGGCCAGAAATTTCACCAGTGTAAGAGGACACAGCTACACAGACATCACTATCATTGTGCTAATTTCCATCTTGTAGAAACTGGTCCATCAGATTTAATCCAATCCAATTCAGTATCTTAGCTTCTGAGTCCAAAGTTCTTAATTGCTACAGGCCAACATGGTGTAGAAAAAATGGAGCTGAAGAATTTAGGGCAAGAAAATAAAATTAGACTATATCATCTTGGGTTAAGTTTTTAATGAGTGTTTGGTCTTTATGTGTGTATTGTACTTCCAGTGTGTGCCCACGTGGGGATCTAGTATTGTCTGTTTAGACAACAGCATTCTCTCTAAGAGATGGGGATTCAGACTCACCTGCCTTCTGTATATCTTCCAGCTCTGCTTTCAAGTGAATTAAAGGCTGAAATAATTGCAGACCTCCTTCTACTTCCAGAAGTTCTCCCWAAGTTATAGGAAGGAAGAGTGGTAGTGTTTTTGACTATGTACAATTTGTAGTGGGTTTTTTTTTAGTTAGTTCTCAAGCCTTAAATTTAGTTCTACTATTTGTTCCTTTGAATATTTAAAGAAGTTAGAGAAACTTATCAAATCTGGGAAGTACCTTTGGCACCAATTCTGCTAGGAGACCCTACTCTTTAACAGCARTTATCCCCTTTGTACATGAAGGTCCATTTGCCATGTGTCAAGGGACTTGACCACCTCTTGTAATCCCATTCAGATGTAGGTTCTCAGACTGAGACCTGAAARTACAGGCCTGAGTTTGTGTGATGCAGCCTCCCAGAACTGCTGGCAATTTCAGGATCAAGGACAAGGAACRGAAACACATGGCACGGAAGTTCCTGGCACAAGATTGCTCTTCAAACCTTTCTGCACCAGTTAATCCCTGGCATTGTCCATTCTGTTTACAGTCCTTGAGAGACATAATGCTCTCTGACCAGCCAGAGTGCCTTTGGCTGACCTTTGCCAAAGTTGGAGTTGATTGCTCTGACCTTGRCTAGTGTCCTACACTCAAGCGAAAACTATGGGGCCCTTCACAGATTCCTGAAAGATCAACTTCACAGATTGAAGAATCACTTTGTGCTCCTTGTTGGCTTCAAACATGTGCATAGGCATATCCTTTCTCCATTCTACAGTGACAAAAGCGTTCTGTTCGTTCCTCTGTTGTCCAAAGCAAGAGCAACTTGTTGTGGCAAGACAGCTGCAATCATTATCCACCAGCCTTGGGCACACATCAACTGGATCTGGATGATTCCCTGGAGAACCTCAGGAGTAAAATATGTGGGGGTGGTTTRTCTCTTTCTTTGTCTCTCAAGCAARAATGACCTGACCTCTAAGCAGCTGTGCTGCTTCAAGATGTGTCACCCAGAGAAATTCCACAAACCCCCCACATTTCTCACTGCTGTGAAGTTCATGGCAGTCAGAGCAAAAGCCAAAATTCTGGGATATTTACAGTTGAGAGAATAATGTGTAGCTGAGTCTCTTGCTGTATACTGGTTTGGTTTCCAGAACTTTTTAAAGAGACTGTATTGTTAGAAACAGAGTTCAGGTTAGTTCCTGGCTGCTATTGTTAGTTCACAGAGAGCCACAGGAGTTATTTGAGAGCAAGAAGAAAACATGTTACAAAATACTAAACACAGAGCATCCATTTTAGCATATTCATAAGGTGCCTAGATTACAGAGTAAACATACCTTCAGTGGAAGAAATGACAAAGGAAAAGGGCTTAGAATTCTTGAACCTCTCACCACTGTATTGATGATTTAATTTGTCTGATGGTAGTCTCCAAATCCAAAATGGAGAACAAGATGGGGCTCATGCTCTGTGAAGGTGATCATAACATTAAACTGCCAAGTGGATTGGTAAATCTCCCTCTCTTATTATGTTAAAACCAAGGCAGGACACTTCCATGAGAAATGAACCTCACTAAAATAAAGTGAGGCTCACTGTGAAGATAACTGGGAGGTACCTTGTGTTACTAGAGCGTTAGATACTCAACACAACTGGTTTGTGACTCACCTAGCATGTGTTACTGTAACATCACAGGGTCATGTTGAAAATCATGCATCCATTTAACTGTGGGAAAAKATGTGATGAAGTAGTTTGTTTCTTCTTTATTGTTCCATCATAATCCGTATTTCCAAGTTTCCATTAACGACAAGCAAAGATCAAAGCTTCATTGCAATGCTAAGGTATTAAAAAATTCTTAATGCTTCTTGGTACTCTCTTCCAGGCTGTGGGATATCGAGTGTGGGGCATGTTTACGAGTACTGGAAGGCCATGAAGAGTTGGTGAGATGCATACGCTTTGATAACAAGAGGATAGTCAGTGGGGCGTATGATGGGTGAGGTTATCAGCRCAGTCAACGCTTTGCATCTTCCTGTCTGTCTCAGTGTTTCCCATCCCAGTCTGTGCATCTTCCATATAAATATCAGACTCTTTGTCTTTGCTGATAAGAGGACCTTTTCATGGCCAGCAAATGAGGACCATGCTACAGAGCATAACTTCCATTTTTTTTTTTTTAAATGAGTCCGTGTGATTTGATGTGTGTGGTCCAGTTCTTTTGCTTGTAAGAATATCTGACCAGTTCAACCTGAAACCTCCCCTAGCTCAACCATTTGTAAGAACAATCTTTCCCATCTGTGGTTATGTCTGCAGGACCATTTGCCATTACAGACTAGTTGTCTGCACTCCCATGTGTTTCTGCTAGTTATTACCACCTGCTTTTTATGTGTTTTACTTTGTTGACAGCACCTCTTTCCCTCCCATTAAGTTCTGTAAGCTTTACAAAGGGGAAATGCAAGAACCAGGTCTCAAARGCAGAAGATTGCTGTAATTTTCCTTAAACTGGTGTATTAGCTAAGCTGTACTAACAGTTATTTTTTTTTCTGTGAGTACTTGCTCTTCTTTTCTCTTTAACAGAGCCATGGTGTTTGTCTATTTTTTCMCTACTAGGAAAATTAAAGTATGGGATCTTGTGGCTGCCTTGGATCCCCGTGCTCCAGCAGGAACCCTCTGCTTGCGAACCCTTGTGGTAAGAGCTTTTGATAGAGGTGTTAAAAAACGTGTGCTTGTTCAGGGCTATCTGGAGCCTGAAAAGTCAAGTCAGTTTAGCCCCATTCTGCAGGATCTTGAAATAATTTATAGCAATCTGRCTTTTTTGGGTGTCCAGCTTTTCTTTTAATTTTGCACACTAATAATTGCAAGCATTAAAAGTTAGAATCTCTGGAGTTTGCGCTCACTTTTTAACAGTTTTGCTTTGTGATTTGAAGTTAATAACTGAATCCATTTTTTAACTCATCCTTGGAATCCATGTGCCAATGGGTTTGTATTCACCTGTGTGTACCTGATGATGTATTAATAAGTYGTCTGAATTGTTGACATGAAATTTCTTGAAACTACTACTGTCCAAATTTGAGGAACACAAACCAAAACACCCTTGGGGTTGCTTCTAATTGGCTTTTGGGTGTTTAAGGAAAAAGCAGGTAAGSACAGGAAGAGACAGAGAAATCATCTTATGCTTAAATAGCAACTACTCTTTTCATGCTATCCACTGGTTTTTAGTGCAGGTTGATGATGGTGTGGTTAAATTGTCATTGTGTGAGTGTTAACARCATTCACAGTCATGTTTAACAATGTCTCTGCTTGGTCTTGTAATAATGCGGGAAAGTTGCGAGAAGAATGCCAGGACAGCCAAGGCCTTGAGATGGTTCCTATAAGTATTCCTCCACCACATTCAACCCCAAAAACTGGCACGGTTTCTGGGGATGAAGGAAGGTTTCAACCAGTACTAAAATCTCCTTGAGAAAGAAGTATTTTATGTGTTTTTATTTGTTTGCTTGAAAGTGTTTGGGCAGTGTTTGGGTTAGTATATGTTAGACCTTTTCCTGCTGTGGCATGTCACTGTAGTCTGTACTCTAAAACAGAATCATACCAAGGCTGTCTGATTCTTTAAACGTGTGTCTACCTCTCACCAGCTGAGCTGTGTTGGCTGACCTTCTGCACACTCATTGACCACCTGAATTGCTCCTGTTGTTGTAGATTTCACTAAAGTACTTTACATCACATTTCATGCAGGCTGTGAGGCTACTGGGACTCAGGGACAGGTAGTAAAATCATTAAGCCATGCTAGCCCTTTTCCAATCATKTATTTGGACCATCAGCTGCAGGTTTAAGAGTCCATGAGAGCTTTGGATGCCCACAGGTACTATGTAGAAAAACCTTCTTGTTAGCCAAATAGAAGTGCAAATAGTTTAATGGCTGAAATCCAGAAAAAAACCCTTGTCATTGGCCACCCAGTTCCAAGCTGTGGAGCAACTCTGTGCCCATGAGCTCGTATCCTGAGAGTCTGAGACTTAAGCTTGGTATTAGTCGTCTTTCTGCTCCAGCCTGAGACAAATGTGTGCCTAGTAACCTGTAGACTTAATTTAACTTGTGTGATTTCCTCTGCATTTTCCAGCAGTGGACAGCCAAAGTGCCCCAGCTAATTATAATATAAATCAGAAGCGGTGGGATGGAAACACTGTAGGAATCTCAACACATGGATACTCATAAATCCCTGTTTGATAGCAATGGAGGGGGCCAAAAGTGGGRTGGGGAGCAGAGGAAGCTGTTGCAGTGTTTTTAGGACCTTTATGACAACAGGGTGTCCTTATACCCGCTTACCCATGGTTTAGTTTTTTTTCCTCTTCCCTCATCCTCCAAAATTAAACCTGGCTGCACAATGAACATCATGAGTCTCCTGCTGCTCGTGTTCAATTTTCAAACAGTGGGAGGAAAGTGCACAGATAACAAATGTTCGCTGCATGCCAGGTCCCTTCCAGTTTTGTCTTCCGTTAGCTGGAACAGTGGCCACGTGAATTTGACAGAAGCTTTTCATGCACAGAATAAGCTTACACTTCAGCTTTTCTTACAACCTAAACAGTCCAGGTAGGACAGCCTTACTTAGCCCACAATGGGTGGATCAAAAAGGGAGTTTTGAAAAAAGCTATTGAAAGTACCCCTCTCTCTCGCTTACTCCTTCCCCCTCCCATATCTCTGTGAATAATCTGTCAGTGGATCTGACTGTTACAGTGACAGTTTTTGGAAGAACTTTTTTACTGCTATAACACAAAATCTGGAAAAATACTTCTTTTAAGAATAGGTGGGAAGACGAATTCATAAGGTGATTATAAGACAAATTCAAGTTATTGTTAGAAGATCAAGAAGGTTGCATTGATTAAAAAAAGAAGATTATCTTAGAAGAAGATGATCTTAGAATTCTAAGAAGATTATCTTAGAATCTGATTTCATGTGTATTTATTTTCACATAATTTTTATTTAAAGATTCAGAAATTCATRAAGTGAATTTTTCAAAGTCGTTGGGCTTTGTAAATACAGCTGTATTTTTGTAGTCTTGTGCTATGAGGCAAAGACTTCCCATTTAGTCACTAGCTATTCTCTTTTGCCTAAATGCTTGAGAAACCTGTAGTTTCAGTATTRAAATATTTTAAGACATGTTTTTTTCCTCACCTTTTGAAGCCCCGTACAATGTGTGAGTAGTATAGAGAAAAGTGTGTTGATGTGAGATATAGGGCTCACCCTCGTTGCAGTTTCTATTCCCTGATGACCTAGAAGGAGGCCACTGCTCTTGGCATGTTGTGAGCACAAGAGAAAATGGGCAACACAAAAAGGAAAGCAGAGTGGATTTCCTCTGTGTTATCCAGGATCATGCCATTGCCTGCTGTTAATTATGGTCTGAACTCTTGCCAAACCGTCATGCCATTTCCACTCAGCCTCGGAGCAGAATGCAAACTGCCTATAAAGAATGCCCTTTCTAGATCATATTTTTAGAACTGCTTAGGAGGAATTATTACTGTGTCACTGGACTKTACAGCAGGCTCCTTAGTGTCCTCCAGTGTTAAGCTGTTTGCTCTTCAGAAGTGGCAGTGATGCTGAATGTCTTGAATGCAAAGTTCTCATCTCTTCCCCTGTAACGTACTGCACCCGGGAATGTTGTAATTTCAGGAAGGAGTTTTGCCATAGAACAAGGAAGACAATGTACCTGTCAGCCTTGCCAGATGGAATTAGGTGATGGAGGGAGTTTGGTTTGTTCTGGTGTGTGTCCAGTACTGCAATTTAAAGAGTAGTGGGACAACTGTATTGTAAACTTCCTGCAAGTCAAGTACACAGATATGACAAACCCTTTTCCCTGAGAGAGGGTTTAATTTATGCACTGTGATRGTGAATGCATAGTGTGTCCTGTGGGGTTTACTGAGAAATTAATATAACACTAAAACCAAGCCCAAGTTCATCCTCCCTGCTCCATCCCAGGTGCCAGCTAGTTTGCAAAGTAACATGCTGTGTCTCCCACTGGCATTTTAGGAGCATTCTGGAAGAGTCTTTCGACTTCAGTTTGATGAGTTCCAGATCGTCAGCAGCTCACATGATGACACCATCCTCATCTGGGATTTTCTGAATGACCCAGCTGCCCAGGCAGAATCCACTCGTTCCCCGTCCAGAACATACACCTACATCACCAGATAAATAACACTACACTGTACCTCACACTCGCACAGGTAAAAATAAAAAAAAAAAAAATTAAAATAAGGTGAGGCTCAAAGGTGATACTGGATGTAGTGTGAGCCTGCTGCTTGAATAACTGGCTGGGTCTGTCAGTGTTTCTCATCTCGGTCATACAGTAATAACAGTGTCCTGTTAAAGGACAAGAATGGTTCTGATACCTTAGAATGGGGACTTTATTTTAGGATTTGTGACATGTGGTGCCTGTGACTTCCCCTGAAGAAATCCTCCTCCTCTGTCCATCATCATCAATAATTAAATCAGTTATACTGCTGTCCAGAAGGAAGAAGGGTTTCTGCAGAGCGAGTAGAGCAGCTGCTGCCTAACAAGAGGATGCAGATGGCCTGACCCTGAGCAATTGTCACCAGGCAGGAGGGTTTTGCCAAGAAGCGTCAGCTTTATTCCCCCCCTCTGAAGTGGTGACCATTCTTCTCACTCTGCAGCAAGCTGATTCAAGATTACAGTTTGGCTAGGGGAGGAGACATTGAGGAGCAAGCACAAACCCAGGCAAATTTAATTGAGATGAATCAATGTGCACAATGATATACTGATAGGGCCTAGCCCTTGTTCTCTCGCATAGCATGGATGTTAAATTATTCGTTTCAGAGCCTGGTTGGCTCATCACCTTTTGTCTTGGCCAGCACAATATGGGGAGGACAAAATGTTTCATATGTTTGGGTCAGTTGTAGAGAGAATTTGATGCATATGAGTGAAGTGGGATAACATGATTGCCTGCGTGGGTGGGTACATGTACAATTGCTGTTAATAGCAGTAAACATAAGAGAGAAGAATGGCAGAAGAGCTGACAGGCTTCTGCAAAGGGGTGTCCACAGTGACATTTTCCCATGAAAATGCTCTGTCATGGAGCACATCCTGTATTCTGTTTGGTAACTGTGCAGTGACCTGTCAGATCTTGATTTTCTCTGGTCAATCAGATGTTATTTTAAATCATTAAAAGGCTTAGTATGAATGGGGTTTGTTTGGTTTATTCTGTTTTTTGTTCCCAGGACTCATTTAAGCTGCAGTATTTAAATGCCAGGACAAAAGAACTATCCACGTAACCAATACTTGCTGAAGAGAGAGGCTCTCAGACTTGTTTCTGGAACAAAGTTGGCATGCGGTTGATCTCAGACAGGGTCTACTCAGCGCGGCTGACTGCTAAAGTGCTGCTATATCAGAAGATGAATTTTATCTTTCATGAACAGTTAACATTTTTAAACCTTCCCATCCCTTTCTTCCCTCATTCCCCTCTTCATGTTCACTCTTCCCTTTACCCCATTTGGTTCCTCTCCAAGCCCAGTCGCCAATGTCCTATGAATATATTTAAGATGTTGTCAGAATGTGTTGCTTTGCTGTTAAGCAGAAGACTTACAGCCACAGTGCATCCTGCTGAGAGTCACTTCAGGGTGGGTGGGAGGGTGGGTGGGGAGGAGGCTTCTATTCTCAGGCTGAAATCAATATCCATTGCTAGGCCTTTGAAAAAGCATTCAGCTCTGAAGAGCAACAGAAACACTTATAAGAACCAGACCGTCACCCCCCAACCCCAGCTTCCCTGCGGCTTTTGGCTGTTCTGACTGCAAACTTATTTTTTTGTGGAGAGAGGACCCTTGAAATTTGACTATAATGAGCCAAATCCATCTCTTTCCTCTCCTGCCTGCTATGCTAACCCTTTGGAAGCTGGATGTGTATTGTAGTCTCCCCTTAACATCTGCTTGGCTGGGGAATGCTAGTCAAGTTAAGCTCTCTCCTGCCAAAGTCCCAAGCATGATGGACTGGGGCTGAGATCCTGTCCACCCCCATCCCAGGTGAAGTGTTGGCCCAGGACAGTATTTCACTAGCAAAAGCATTGTCTGTACCATTTTCCTCCTGCTTCTCCCTGAAGACAGTATGTTGCTGATGGCTTATGAATCATTCTGTAAAGTGGAGAAAGTTTGAGGCTGGATGAGAAGGAAAGCTGGACATTGCTCCCATCTTTCCATTCCTTCTCCCCTCAGAGAGACTGGGTACTGGAAGAGGGAGCTGTTTAAAACTTCGTGGAGCTCTCAAGAGCCACCCTAGAGTGGAGACACTACAGAAACATTCTGGCCATAACAATAAGGCTTTGACTCACTTGAATGATCAAGTGCACACCCTGGAGATGGTGGATGAGTAAAATGAGTGTGGYTTTGAGGACAATCACTGCATTTGGTAGTGACTCCAGACCAGTTCTGCAGCATTTCTGGGGCTGGCTTTGCTGGAAGGGATTGAGAGTTTTTGGTGTGTTTTTCTAACCTGTGTGCTGCATTGTGGTTTAAGGACACAGGCTGATTAGTCCTTTTGCTGATAGCTGAGATGAGTCTTTGCTTTCTAGCTGAGACTTCTGCAAATTGTCATTGTTTAAAAGACAAAAACAGCCCTGAAGAGGAGGTACATGAGAAACAATTCTGCATGTCTGAGCTAGACAGAGGTCTGGGTGTAAACAGCTCTCTTCACAGACCTGGAGTGAATTGCAGCTGGCCTGCATTTAGATCAGGAAAGACTCTGTAAATCAGTCCCTGGCCATTCCAGGTTTAGGCCCAAATCTTCTGCTGTAGGTCTGGAATATTCTCCACTGCTTTACTGGGGAGTTGCTCCAATCCCACACTAGGAAGTCAAGGTCCTTTGTCTCTGGGCTGCAGGGGTTTAAACAGGCTTTGTTAACACCCTCTGAACTTGGCAGATGGGATTTTTTTAATAAGCTTTTCTCATCAACTTCACTTTGCTGGGGAAGCAGGTGCATTGTTTCTAATTGCTTGGGATGTGCTTTTTCCACTAGTGAAATCTAACAAGGAGCTGGTCCAAGAGTCCCCAAAGAGCAATCCAGAGGGCTTGAATAATTTAGGTGACAGCTAAGACAGACAAGAAGGCAATGGAGTTACAGAGGAGGGCAAAGCTGGTTCTTGGGGAGTACCTAGTGCATTTCTTGAAGCATGTGGGCAGGCAGCAATGTTGAGCATCTCAGAACATGTGAGGACACTCCTCTTTTCTATTTGAAATATTACTGTAAAAGAGTCAAACAGGTTAGCAACTCTATTCAAGTAACACTGACAGAGTGACTTACCTCTGAAGAGTTATAAATAAGTTCTGAGTCACAATGTTCATCTACAACTAATTTTGGCACTATTTTCTATGTCCAGAAGGGCTGTTTTGGCTTTCAGGCAGCTCTACATATCATGAATACTGCAGTCCCGAAGCCAAAGTGGCAAGGGAGCAGAGAGAATCAAAGTTTACATCCCAAACTTTGCTGAGTTCAAGTTCTSAGTCTTAATGCTATTTGAACACTGTCCCTCTAAGTTCAGGTATTGCAAGGTCTTCAGCATGGCTGCATATCAGCAGAGGTTGTATGACCTTGGGTAAAGATTTAATAATTATTTTCCTCAGTTTGGTCATGCTTTGTCTCTTACATTTCTGTTACTGTAGAAAACAATGATCTGTTACTCCAGCTGCTGCAGAACTTCCTAATATTTTAATTACATCTTTGTGGCCAACACCTACGAGGATGCATTGTATTTTGCTAGTTGAGAKAATTTGGGAGAACTGGCAGATGGGCTGGCCAAACACAGGAGACACCACCATTGCAGATTGTCCGTGGTTGTCCTAGCCCTGCTGCTCTTTGCTGCTACTGTGTTGGGTCTTCAAGTGGTACCATACTTTGTACTCTACTGTACAGAGCTGTTTAAGGTACGTTTAGCAAGCAACTGCTGAAATCCATTTTTGGCACATGTAAGAGAGATGTGTCACCACCCTCAAGAAGGGACTGTGTGTGGGTACTTCATACAGGACTGCAGAAGGGCGAGGGTTCCTACCCCACTCCCCAAGTTGTACAAATTTTCTGATAGCCAAGAAGGAAACTGAAGTTAACTGATCTAACTTGAACTTGAAATTGCCACAGCCTGACGTTTGGTGGTGTTTATTGTGCACCCAGGGAGGAGCAATCTGGTAAGTAGTTCTCCCAATGTCAGAGGAAAGTGGCTTTTTCAAACTCCCTTCCCCTCCTTTAGGATATGTGTGCATGTGTGTGTGTGTGTGTGTGTGTGTGTGGCAAGGGTGCATGTGAAAGAGGTTTTGGCATGAACAAGATGGATAATCCCTCAACCAGATTGGAGTAATTGCAGAGTTTATAATGAAAATAACTAGAACATGCCTGCTGAAAGGAGATAAAAAAGGGCTGGAAGTGTCTGTGGGCTTTAAGTGTTGCACATCRCTTTGAAATGAAATACCTCTGCTGYATAGAGATCGGCACTTCTCCYASAAGTARGAAACTCATGCTATCCTTCCACCTTGGACTATGGGATGGAAAGTACTGGAGGTGTGGGACATTCAGAGCAGGGCAATCTGTTGTGGCCACACCATCTCCTGCGTGTGACTCCTTTGCGATAGGGCACAGTTTTGCTGCAAATATTTCTCATCCTCAGAGGAATACAGCTTGTATTCAAATATGCAAATAGAAAATGGCATGAAGGAGTTTGCAGTGAGATAATTCATACAGCTGTCTCTTCTGGAGCAGCTCCCTCTGCTCCCTGTTAATGTTCAAGGACAGACACATCTGCTGTTGGAAGGATTCAGGTGACAAGTTGAGAAGTCGGTGATCATCAGAAACATTGAAATGCTTTACACTTGTTTCTAAACTGGAAGCTGACTTGGACCACAATGCTCTACCTACCCACCACCTGCTCCTGCTCCAAAGGATCCTTTTTCCTTTTTCTTAATTTTTTTTTGAACACTGAAAAAGCTGGAGAGTATCATGCACATTTCTCCACTCCCAGGTATGTGTATCTGCCCCTTCCACATGTCCCTTCCTCAGTCTGAGCAGAGCTACAGGCTTGGTTCTGAATTTTTTGGCACCCTGGCTCCCATGGGAAGCACCTCTCTAGGTTGGGAAGCACCTCTCTAGGCTGGGCTCTTGCTTAATTTTGTCAGCTTCCTTTAACATGATTTTAGATCTTATTCCTAAATTCCTAATTGCTGGGAAGAGGCAATATTTGCATTTGATAAATCAAAAATACTAGCGGCTCTCCCTAACTGCAGCGGGAACAAGAAGGAGCATCCAGCCTTCCTACTTCAGGCTTGCTCTGAATTGTGGCTGGAAACAGAGGAGATGACCTGASTGGTTGAAAACTAGAGGGGTGTGGGGATGGAGATGGATATCTAAAAAGTGGGGACAGTGCTGAAAATAGATCTTTTATCTTGTGCAGTTGACTGGGAAGAAGAGAGGTTTTCTATGAGCACATCAGAARTCATCAGGAGGTGATCAAGTAAGGCCTCCAGCGGTTGAACTTGTCAGTTGATGCCCCTTTTAGGATGGCAGTGGAGGCATAAGGAGAAAGAGATGGTCTAAACTACACTTGCCAGGAGAAGAATGAATGAGCTTTGCTAGGGTCTCCATGTGGCATGCATGATGCATCTGACATGCTGAGCTTTGCCCTACTGTTCCCCCCAAAGTGATAAGCAGTGGCTTCCCAGAAGGAGGTGTGGGAAACAGCAGGTGACCCAGCTATCCTCAAAGGAGGTCTCCATATGAAATCCCTCTGTCCTGCTGGATTGATYGGCATGAGGGAGTCTTTCTGCCCACACCTTTAATTCAGAGGCAGAAGCAGCAGGTCCCTTGGGTGTGTTCATTCTCCAAAATCTCAGCAGTGGGTTGAGAGGAATGGCTGCCTGCTGAGACTAAGTATTTGGCTTCTGTTTCTTTCCCCCCTTGCCCCATTTTTTTAAAAGATGAGGTATAGCCAAGCTACTGGCAAAATCTCCAAAGCAAATCCCCAGGGGGAGCCTTGGCACRCTGCCAGAATAGATCTTCCTTTGACTGGTCAGAAAACTCCTCCCATGACTTTGTGTTTGTTCGCTGGGCTTCCGCATGTCTTGCCCAGCAGATGACCCATGGGAGTTGGCAACACTGGTTGATCCTTAGGGATGTTCAGATGGTACTCTCAGAATCGGAGGGATTCCGATGTACATGGATGTGCAAAAGCCCTTTAGATGC